GCATTACTCACTTTCTGTATCCATCATTACTCACATACTGTATCCAAAATTATTCACATACTGTATTCATTGTTACTCACCTACTATATCCAACATTAGTCACATACTATATCCATCATTACTCACATACTGTATCCATCATTACTCACATACTGTATCCATTATTACTCACATACTGTATCCAACATTACTCACATACTGTATCCAACATTACTCACATAATGTATCCAACATTACACGCATAATGTATCCAACATTAGCCACATACTGTATCCAGCATTACTCACATACTGTATCCAACATTACTCACATACTGTATCCAACATTACTCACATAATGTATCCAACATTACACGCATAATGTATCCAACATTAGCCACATACTGTATCCAGCATTACTCACATACTGTATCCATTATTACTCACATACTGTATCCATCATTACTCACATACTGCATCCATCATTACACACTTTTGATATCCATCATTACTGACATCACATACCATATCCAATGTTACTCACATAATATATCCAACATTACACACACACTGTATCCAGCATTACTCACTTTCTGTATCCATCATTACTCACATACTGTATCCAAAATTATTCACATACTGTATTCATCATTGCTCACATACTGTATCCAACATTACACACATACTGTATCCAACATTATCAACATACTGTATCCAACATTATCAACATACTGTATCAACATTAGTTATATACTGTATCCAATATTTCTTATATACTGTATCCAACATTATCAACATACTGTATCCAACATTATCAACATACTGTATCCAACATTAGTCACATACTGTATCCAACATTACACGCATAGTGTATCCAACATTAGCAACATAGTGTATCCAACATTATCAACATACTGTATCCAACATTAGTTATATACTGTATCCAACATTAGTCACATATAGGCTATATACCGTTGTTGTATATTAAATCACTTGCAAGTAGAAAAGGATGGTTGCTGGGTTGAGTCCAGGTTCTATTGAAATCCAGTTTGTGAGGTGAACCTCAGGGATTACAGTAAAAGACGAAAACTTAGTCAGGGATGTAACCATCTCGAGAAGCTAAGCTTAGTGATGGACTTGCTAAAGATTTGATGTGTTATTTCCCAAGATAGTGTGCATTGTGCATCACAATTTTGTATGGTTCCCATCATGTGACTGATTTCAACAAAATTGTGACTACTGATCCTTAGTTTTTGACTCCCATGTGCGAAGCACAAAACAGAAGTCTTTGCAGTTACCCTGCGCAGATTTGATTAGGTTTTGGTTGAAATCATTGCATATTAATTACCTGATTTGCATGATAATTAGCCAATTTCTAGCTGTTCTTTGACTGTTCCACTGATATTTAAAGAGCCATTCATTAGATTTTGATGAAACTTGGTACATAGTTGCTCTGGATTAATGCACAGATGTGAATAGTTTTGGGTAAAAATCCATGCACATAATTAACCTAATTTGCATAATGATTACTCAATTTTCTGCTTTTCCACTGAATCCTCAGGTACTAATCATCACATTTCAATGAAACTTACATAGATACATAGGACGATGCACAGACAGATATGTGGAATATTAATTACCTTATTTGCATAATTAATCAATTTTCAGCTTTTGATATTTCAAGTACTATTACTTCATTACTTTTCAATGAAACTTGGTACATATATGCTCTAGAACAATCCAGAGACTTGATTTATTTTAAGTAAAAATGTTGTGCATATTAATCAACTAATTTGCATAATTAGTTAATTTTTGGGTTTTACAATGATATCGCAAGTTACTAATTATCCCATTTCAATGAATCTTGGTTCATAGATGTTCTAGGACAATGCATAGACCAGATTAGTTTTGGGTTAAAATCAGTGCATATTAATTACCTAATTCGCATAATAAATCATAATTTTTAGTTCTAATCACATTTCAATGAAACTTCGTACATAGATGGTCTTTGACATTACTTATCTAAATTCAATGAATCTTGGTACATATGTACTCTAACACAATGTAATGATCAAATTAGTTTTAGGTTTATATACATCTATAAAAATTATCTAATTTGCATAATTTACTTTTCAGCTTTCCACTAATTATTAATCATCACATTATAATGAAACTTTGTACATGTGCACCCTGAAACAATATACAGACCTAAATCTATGCATGATAATTGCTTAATTTGTATAATTCATTTGGTTTATTGAGGTAATACACATACGTGATTAGTTTGATATTGATAAACATGCATATTGATTATCCCATTTCTGATATCTAAAAAAATCAGATTTAAATTGAATTCATCGCAGAGGTGCTTTGGAACTAATTAGACTAAAAACCATGGATGAAAAATCAAATGTATTTTCTGTATGTACCGGGGGTATTATAAATTTTGATAATGTAAATCACATTTTTTTCATGTTATGCATCTCAAATAGCAAACAAAAATTAGTTACCAAACTTTTTGTTTGAAAAGCAAATCTTAAATTTTGAATTACCGTAATTTTAATGTGTCTATAATACTCTCAGCACACAGGAGTTCTTTCTAAGCTTTCTTTGATCACATTTCACTTTGCTCACGCAATTGTGTCTAAAACAAATATTTCAGTAAGATTTGGTCATTTTCATGTGGTTATTTAAACAAAAACATTTTCAAAATCACTGCTATTGGTGCTTTAAAGGTAATACACATAAATCTTTGTTGCCTGTTTTATAGCATCCTGAAAAGTGATTCGATTGTAAGCAATATCTGTTTATAATGTCATCGTTGATCTTTGTTTTGTTTTTATTGTTACCATTGCAATGAAAAGGAGATTATTCCAACTCTCCCAGGGATTCAAACACATCCCTTGACTCCATACCACCATTACCTAGAAATTTTATAGATAGCATTAAAGGTAAGATTACTGCAGGTGTAATAGTACAACATGTGTTAATAGTCATAACAGTTGGCTAGTTGGTTAAATTGATGTGTGTGGGGATGGTTGATACAGTTTATTATAAAGCAATGTAGTTGATTATAGTTAGTAGGATAAACCATTCTAGGTGGTAATAGTTGGTAAGATAAACCAATGTAGTTGATTATGGTTGGTATGTTAAACCAATGTAGGTGGTGGTAGTTGGTAGGATAAACCAATGTAGGTGGTAGTAGTTGGTAGGATAAACCAATATAAGTGGTGATAGTTGGTAGAATGAGGCAATGTAGTTGGTTATAGTTGGTAGGATAAACCAATATAGGTGGTGATAGTTGGTAGGATAAACCAATGTAGGTGGTAGTAGTTGGTAGGATAAACCAATGTAGGTGGTAGTAGTTGGTAGGATAAACCAATATAAGTGGTGATAGTTGGTAGAATGAGGCAATGTAGTTGGTTATAGTTGGTAGGATAAACCAATGTAGTGGTGTTAGTTGGTAGGATAAACCAATGTAGGTGGTGGTAGTTGGTAGGATAAACCAATGTAGGTGGTGGTAGTTGGTAGGATAAACCAATGTAGGTGGTGGTAGTTGGTAGAATGAGGCAATGTAGTTGGTTATAGTTGGTAGGATAAACCAATATAGGTGGTGATAGTTGGTAGGATAAACCAATGTAGTGGTAGTAGTTGGTAGGATAAACCAATATAAGTGGTGATAGTTGGTACAATGAGGCAATGTATTTGGTTAATAGTTGGTAGATAAACCAATGTAGGTGGTGTTAGTTGGTAGGATAAACCATGTAGTGGTGGTAGTTGGTAGGATAAA